CGTCAACTTGACATTAGCGGTTATATTTTAAGATGTTATGATATAATAATAAGAAAATTCGTGCCTAAAACATAGATAAGGGCTGTCTCAGGAGATGCAACTAGATCCTATGTGAGGTCGAACGGCACAAGGTCGACCGGTTGCTGGTTTACAAGGGCAAGTAAGTATCATGTGCATCTTGAAGTAATAACATCTACCACGCAACATTATTGACTACTGCTAATGGATACCAGAGTTTATAGAACATTCCTTTCTTATGAATTAATATAAGAATAAAGTTAAGGAAAGTTTTAACATTTTAACATAGAATACTAATAAGAGAGCGTTCAAGTATTACGTAACGCAATTTTCGAAGATTTTTGACCCTCCCTTCCCCCCTCGTAACGCACAGTAACGTTTTTCTGTAGCCCCCCCCCCTTTTCAAAACATTACGTAACACTCAAGTGATCAATTTCATCAAAAGACTTACAAAGCAATCTAGGTATTCCCCGTAAAATATCAATTAAGAGGTTTGCAAACTTGGAATAACAAATAAAAATATCGACCAGACTAATACAATCTGGTCAACATAATGTAACGTATATGAAAAGAGTTGCCAGTTTGGGGGTTTTTATTAATATATTTTTTTAGAAACAATGCTACGTAACGTTTTGTAAGAGACACCCCTCCCGCCCCTGTAACGCATCGTAACGTTTTACGAGACCCCCCCTCCCCCAAAATTGCGTTACGTAATACTTGAACGCTCCCTAAATTATATATATTGACACTCATTCATAGGTCGGAATCTTAATGTATTCTTGTGAGTCCCAATACTAGATAACGGTTCTCTGGCAAAATGCCAGAGGAATTTGACACACTCACATATATTTCGGATACCTCAGTGTTGTAGAGAAATTGATATCCAACATGATCACACTTAAAAAAGCGTTTTAGTTTTAAAATGAGAGTTGTTAGTTCAGCTTCGCCTTAAAAGCTTTAAAAATTCAGTGTCCTAATTCCTTAAAACGCTGTAAATAACCTTACGTATTCATGATGCTCTTGAAAGCGGGTTCTCCTACAATATACAACATATGATTAAATTAAGAAAATATTAAGCTTTAGAAAATTTTATGTCTTTATACAACGAATATTTGTTATCTGGTGCCGTTCATATATTTTAATATATTCTTAGAAAACCTACGCTATGTTATTTGTATACGCAGGGTGGGCGTTATACATCCCATGGAATTGCCAGAGAGGCTTTAAAATAGTATCTACAGTTCATTCTGCATATAATCGTGTGAACTCATTTTCTTGCTGGAGAGTAGCAGTTATTTTAAACACTAACAATTTTCATATGTAGGAGACAAGTAAAAAACAAACAACATTAACCAAACATGAATTTCTTTTTAAAATCATTTTTGTTTCAAATAAAACAGACTTAAAAGTTTTAAATACAGTTGTACATTATTCGTCTTTTGAGGTAAGAAAACAAAAGAAAGTTATTTAAAATATGTAATGAATGAAAAACTTAAGAACTTATAAGGGAAAATTGTATATAAGTGGATATTAGCCATCTATTTTGAGTCCAATTTCAACGGTTCCATGGTGTAATGGTTAGCACTCTGGACTCTGAATCCAGCGATCCGAGTTCAAATCTCGGTGGGACCTGCTTTTTGCGTGCAGATGTTATCAGTTAAATTAATTTAATTTCTAAATTCACCATCACTTATTACCTCTAAATTTGTCTATTACCTTCCATCTACAATGTTGTTAACTAAAAAATAGACTTAAAGGAAAAACATAAACACAGATTGTTTATGTGTGGGAGAGGTAGAAATCATCTGAAATTTAGTAAAGATACATAGTCATAATCATTTTAATATATTGAAAATTAATATATTGAAATTTGAAAAGACTGTCTCATTTAACCTACATAAATCTATACGATTCTTACTGTCGTTTAAGTACAATACTTCAGGACTTTTTAAAATTTTAACCAATATGTATGTATATTGTATCATTTCAACGATCATGTATCTCGTATATTTATTAAAAATTAATGCAGCCGCTCACACTGTAACATGCAAGCAAATTATTCAATTGATTAATTATTTAAATTTAAAATAAAATGATCCTTAAGTAAGCGTAACCATTCCTTTATATAAAAAGTTGTGACCCGTTTCCTCTTACAGCCCTTGAAAAAGTCGTACCTACACGATTTTATGTCATCCAACGACATATTTTATTGACAATAAAAAAACATTCTCCGTAAACATGATCCCATGTATCTTATAAAAATATATATTACTTTATGGTTACGTGAAGGTAAATAACCTCATTATGTAATGTTTTAAAACTAAGGATGTTAATTATTTATCGTTAAAGTGTTACCAGCAGGTATTGTTATTACGTGTTTCACTTATTAATGATGTAGTTTGACCTCATACATATATAAAGCGTTTTTTTATATAATAATTTGAAATGAAATAAGTTTCCTTTTTTCACTATAGAAGTAGGAAATAGATTTATTTTCACTAGTAATCTCTTATAACGAAATATCAAATGAAGTTCAATTTGATAATAAAAAACTGATAAACTGACTTAAATGTGGTGATAAATATGCAACCTAATAATGCTTCTATGTATAACATATATATCTATATCAAAATTATATTGTTTTAAGAAAAGACAAGTTCCAAAATTTGTCAGACAAGGTAACGAATTTGAATTTACTATATTTAATTTTCATATTATATTGACCAAGCAATTGTTTTAATAAATCGTATACTTTATGTGAAATATTATTATAAATTTCAAACAGAACGTTGCGCAACTGTGAAGACAAAATCATCTTATATAATATCACAAACGCCATACCGAAATTCCTTTAAGATATTCGCATCTAAAACATCAGCCACATAGTTCGGTCGATGATTTTTTAATTGGATTATTGAGATAAATGTTAGTATTTATATTAATCGGTTCGTGTAAATATTTAAGCTATTTCTAACGATCGTCTGGGCAAAGGAGCGATAGCGATATATTACACCTTTGCAATAGTTACGGAAAAAAAAAAATACAATGTTTGTCTGAATATTTAAATGATATGAAGTATTTTAAATCCTTCTTCAAACCAATCATACATATCGAGAATAATTTTCGCGTACCGGTTATACTTATTAAAAGGTAATTTAATGTGAAAATACCACAATTTCTGGTATATAAAACGATACAGGAGTTACATTGTGTTATTTTTTAAATGGAAGTGGCACTGATTCATTATAAAAAAATGTTCTCTCAAATCGTTCAACCAAATTAGAGGTTTTCTTTGCCGTGCTCGAGACTGGGAGGTATCTTCGCCGTGTCCGTATAAAAATGCTAAGCGTTTCATTATGACCAGCCTCCACAGGGTAATTACTTCCACTAAAAACTGGACACTCCGAAATATTCCTCTCGTCGTAATTCTTGATTCTTAAAACGATGCGGTGATTTACCAAACGTTGGAATCCCCAACAATTTAAGGTATTCCATATTATATTTATTGGGCTTTTTAGTTTAAAGAAATGTTTCATCATAATTGAAAAATAATGTTATACTGTAAGCTATTATTAATTATATTTTGTAAACAGGTTTATAGCTCTTTTATAAGTGTAATATATTTCATTTTTAGAAGGCTCTATAATAAATTGACTTTTTTATTCATATTCTTTTCATTATTATTTAGAGAAAAATGTGACAGAACTTTTCACGCAACCACTCTCTTAAATTTAATTAGAAAGTGTTGAGGTCCCATGGTGTAATGGTTAGCACTTTGGACTTTGAATCCAACGATCCGAGTTCAAATCTCGGTGGGACCTAGTTAGAGAATGTTCCTTTTTAACATCACACTTCACTTGCTTTTGCATTCCACTTTGCTCGTATGGTACATTAGGTGAGTTTATTCAACACTTCTAGTATTTCAAAAGTATTATACCTATATAATAAGAGTTAAAGTTTGAACTAGAATATAATTGAGTTAACTGATAGGTATATAAATAATAAATTTCAAAAACAATTTCACTTTTATATACATACTTTTATATGTATATAGAAATAAAACTATACTAGAAATTAAGTGATATAAACTAAAACGATCATAAATAAATTATGTAATAAGTAATATATTTAACGTCGAAATTAATATTGTATGTAGACGACCGGCGTTTCCTTGTTTGGGGAGACAGATGTAACAATTTTCATCAACATAACACAGTAAATGACTTGCGCAGCGCAATTTTTCGGACAGACAGACAGATAGAGACGGATCGTAGTAATATAATGTGAATACCAAAAATAGACCCGAAATGTACTAAGTACAAAGGAAGTACATTTAAACTTTGTTTAAAATGAAAAAAAAAATATTGTCTAGGAAGTAGAATAAAAGAAAATTTTATAAGTAGAATGATATTTAGATGCGTAAAATAAGTAGGTACTATTAAAATTTGTATCGATAATATAATGTATGTATTACGTAAAAAATGTAAAATTACTATTTTTTTCATTCGAATTTCTTGACAGTCATTGATTAAACATATTTATATTTATACAATATAAAAACATATTAGTTGTTTTTTGAAGAATATAAAAGCTGCTAAACTTCGATACTATGGCTTAAACCATTTAATCTCGCCGTATATAGTGTTAACGAAAATTAATTAACATAAATTAGCAGTTTTGGGGTTATTATCACGTATTACGTAAAGGTTACTAGTTCACCATGTCGATGCTACATATATGTCTTGTTACGAAAAGGAAATTGATCGCCTTTATAAATTAATATTAATATTCGACTTCCTTTCATTATAACCAGTATATATTAATACCTTAGGTATTAATCAAATTATTCTCTGGAGGGCTCTAAGAAATCTTGTTAAGGATTTTTAATTAGGGAACATTAATGAAATAATACCGATGAGATTACTTATACTTTCTTTCTTAGATTATTGTATGAGACTTATTTTGTATTTTCTTTTTTATAGAGCGAATACAGGTTCGCTGGTGACTATGGCACCGGGTACAGACGAGCTGAAAGTAGTAGGAGCGGTGGTATGTGTTCTGCCGCGTTAGTTGGGGGAGCTTTACTGGCTGCAGTCGCGGTCCTAGCAGTCGCCGCACTAGCATTCTACATGGGTGCTTTAAGGCCTGATAATGGAGAACGTAAGTTTAATACACCTTCAAACAGACCTTTAAAGAAGAATTCGTATAATATAAATGTATTGTTTGCAGCAATAATGACATTTGAGGGAACTTTTCGTGTCACTCGAGGGATGTCTACGGTGGTGTGCCTGGCAGTCCGTCGTGGCGAGAGCGAGCTCGCAGATACAGCGCGTCCCTTAAACAGGTGTACGCGGCCCCATCACCCTTAAGACAGGCCTTCGCCGGAGCGATAGTAACAGGCTTCGGTGACAGACGCCTTGATGTTCATTTCAAACTATACTTAGATAGAAGAAAAATACCAAGGTAGCACCTACTTTGTTTATATATAAACTTGCATAAAAATATACACATGTGTAATCTTTATTGTATCTCTTCCAGTTCACTTACAAATATAGAGGAATCTTTGAAGAAAATCTTAATACAAGATTTGATATCCAAACATAGTGCATTTGGACAAATAAAAATAGATGCATCTAGTATAATTATTAAAAGGGACTTAGAACACACATACCACTCGGAACAGTATGTTAAAGAAGCGATGAATGAATCTGTAACAACTCCTAATCCTAAGGTCTTATCACCTCAAAACGCAAAAGACAAAACTCTTCAAAGCCGAATTGGTGTTGTTCGAAAGACGACAGTTAAACCTAAACAAACTTTAAGAAAAGATGATCCAGACGAACCCGATATAGACACAGAGAACATTCCAGTAGTACAAGGCTCTTTTCAAATAACAAAGACAGAAGCGGATATAACGGAGAATAAACATAATCCAAGCAAAACTAATCCTAGTAGAGTCGATGAGAAAAACAACCATAAAGCACCGGCTCCACCTAAAACAGCAACATCTTCAACCACGAAATCACCATCAACGTCTACAGCAACGACGACAAGCACAAGAAAGTTCCCTCCAAGTACACTGAAACCGAGACCAATAACAATAAAATCTTCTATGAATATTAAGCCAAAAGTCGATATAAATAACAGTCTCAAAGAAATAACTACTGCCAAGCCTTCACCAACATCGAGTACAATGAAAACCACCACCACGTCTAAAAGAACAACGACTACTACTATGACAACAACGACTCAAAATGTATCTCAAATCTTATATGATCTTCTTACAAATGAAAATCACGACAAAGATTTGCCAAAAATTGATACTTTATTCACAGTACCCCATGTCATTGATAACGAACCGTGGAGGCCCATTACAAGACCTTATTATGAAACAACAAGTAAACAATCAACGTTACCTATAATTGAACAAAATGCTGAAGATCGAATAGGTGTAGCAGAAGTGGTTGAAGATATTTCTCTTTTAGAATCTTTGTTGACTCCTAGTCCCCCTGTGAAACATAAAGATATAACAACACAAAGACCATCAGGGCTGTACAACGTAGATCCCCATTTAGCGGCGGACGTATACATTCCCAATCCAGTGTATACTAGTTTTACTATTCCAGCTTTCATTCCACCGCTCAAAGATATGGAAACATTGGGATCAAGCTATCCAAAGCCACATCCTTTACCCGTCGACAAAATAAGTGGTGCGATTGAAGTTGTACCTGAAACAAATTTAAACTTGGATGACAATGACGGGAAACCTATAATACGACCTCCCAAAGATAAAACCTCTTCTGTTAGTATAAATGTATTTCAATTAGATAGTAATACAGAAAAAGTTTCAATTGAGGGTGCGTCCATTGTAAAGAAACAAAATGTTACTACCACTAGTACAACAATGAAAACAACTACAATTGTTGATCGAAATACAAAAATTTCTACAACAGATATTCCTTCAAGTACACCTTCTAGCACTACTACGATAGGACATAAAAAGGAAAGTACTACGAAGAGACCAAATAATAAAGTATCAATAATACCATCGACTGGTACCCCTCACCATACATGGGAATTAGTCAATACCTCAACAAATAATAACGATACTTCTAATAAAGTATCTCCCCAAAAGTATTATAATGATACATTGCAAGCTATAATCGTTAAAAACGATGCTTCGCTCAATACTACAACAAGATTCCCCAGCAAATTTTCTATTCTACGTAATTTAACTGATTTAATTAAACGATATTCTCAAAATAGTACTTCAAAGCCGTCTGAAATCAAAATTGAGACTACGACCATTCTTTCCACCACTCCAAGTTCTGTAAAAGTGGAGGACATTGGAGAAATAGTTCGACACACACCTGAAGAAATGATTGGATCAGTAGAAGTTATTTCCGAAGAAGACTTGGAGACAACAACACCTAGAGTCATAACATTGATGCCCGCAAAATCGAATCTAGGCGTGAATCGACCGCTACGACCCCGACCAAAAATTGATCCTCAAGTAACAAAGGACAGTGAACGTAGTTTAAATGATCCATCAGATGTGAATAATCCTGCAGACGATCTTGAATTGAGTTCTTATAACTACACAGAATTATTGTCAGAAGCGTCTGAAATTATATCAAGCTCAGCAAATATGTACAATGATACGGATATGGATGTAGTTGAATCTAATGAAGATCCCAAAGCCCTTCGCTCATCGGGTATACCGGCCAATCCTGTAAGTGGAAATAGATTGCCTAAATCAAACGATTTAAAAAGTCCAAATGTTGAAAACTTTAAAAACAGTAATATTCCTGAAGGGACATACAAGGTATCTTATCATGTAACAGGAAGCGTTAGCAGTAAACAGGCTAATAAAACTAAACACCTTCCTGCCTACGAGCTAGCTCTAGAACCGGATGTAGTGCTAGAAATACCATCAAATCAAAGTAGTACATTAACCCTAGATAAATTAAAACAACTTGCTAGCCTTGCCACAATAACAAATTTTAATAACAACACATTGTTCCGTGCTCCTGGAGGTGTAATCTCCACTAAAGCGATCCCGTCAAGTTATACATTAAATCAAGCTGGATTTAAAATACTCACAAAAACGTTTAACAAAGCAACGCCCGTGAAACAAGAAGAAAATGGCTTTAATCAACCAGAAAAACCTATTAGTAAACCAATTCATACAAAAAAACAAAATAAACAGGAATTTGAAAAAGAAATTATAGTTGAAGGTAATATTAGTGAAGCTGATACAAGTTTCAAAATATAATTGTATTTTAGCTAATAATATAAATAATTCTTTCAGAATTCTGTGATAACTCCACATCGTTTTCATGCTCCAGCGGAGCTTGCATTCCCCTGACGTCTCGGTGTAATAGATTGATAGATTGTCCCTCCGGGGAAGACGAGAAGGCATGCTCGTGTGCTGATTACTTACGAGCTGATTTTTCACAATCTAAGATTTGTGACGGTTTCGTTGATTGTTGGGATTACTCGGATGAAAATAAATGTGGTATGTAAATAAACAAAAGAACACAAATTATCTTAGTATATTTTTAAAACAATATTTTTTTAAGGATAATATTTTTCAGAATGGTGTAAAGAAGGCCAGTTTGTATGCGCGAATGCTCGTCAATGTATAGAAATGAATAAGGTTTGCGATGGGAATCCTGACTGTCCTCTCGGTGACGACGAGAAAAGTTGTGTGGCGTTAGGAGATGATATCGATAGCAACGAAGTCATTCCCTATAACGAGGAAGGTATGAAAAATACTTTATTTCTCTGTTTTGTTATTTCCTTACACCAAATATTTAATGGCTATTACGTTTGAAGGTTTTGTTATGGTCCGTAAGCGCGGTGTTTGGGGCAGACTCTGCGTGGAGAGTTTCAATGATGTGGTCACTCAAGCACATAGTTCACTTAAGTTACCAGACCTTGGTAGGGCCGTCTGTCGTGCAATGACCTTTCAGTAAGTATTAATAATATTGACACTTTAGAAAACGTTTTTATCAAATACAAGTTCATCCAACATTAATTCTAACAAATATATAACATTTGCAATGTTTGTAAACACTTTTCTTTAAAGCGGATCGTTGTATAATAAATTTTTATCATCTGCCTATTTTACTTCATTTTACTTCATTTTATTAACAATAAATTACCTGTTTCATAAAAAACAACATTAAAAAATAATAACTACATATTATTGCAGGGATTCTCCATGGGTTCGCGAGGCACGTGAGGGTAGAAAAGTAAGCACGATAGGTTACTGGGAAGTTTGGCATAACGTACATGCTCGAGCTGCGGACACACGGCTGACATTCAAACGATCAAGTTGTACGAGACACCGTGCTTTACGAGTCAAATGTGAGGACTTGGACTGCGGAATACGACCTCATGCTGATGCACAGCAACCCAGGTAACATATATTTAATACTGAATATAATCAGCCAATTTATTTAGATTTTTTTTTTAAAGTTAAGTCGAATTTCATATTAGTTTCTTCTAATCTTTATGTACGTTTACTTATACATTTATAATCAGTATTAGTAATATTTCTGTCGTCAAATTTAGTACATGCAGGTCCAAAATTTGATGATAAAAAGTTATGTTGATGCTAGCATGTTCAATGATTTATAAACGAAAATCTGAAGATAGCGTCTGTGTTTAGTCTCACGGCGAAAATTTATAGTTAGCGTGACAATCCGTTAAAAATTTTTCATATGAATACTTTGGTAATATGTACCAAAAAAGTTTGGTGAAAATGTGATTTTGTCTTTACAAACCTACCAAATAATCTAATACGACCCTGTTAGTATACAATATTTTAATTTTAATGTCTGGAGTGCACAAGTGATTTAAATCCAAATTTAAAGTTATCTGAATTTTAATTAAGTATTTAATAATTTCTCTTATGATTTGGTATCAACATAGTATTCTAAAAATAATAAACGTCAGGAGAGCAGAGTAGAAAATCAGTGTGGCTTATCAATGAGAGCACGTTCTATATGAGAGCGACATTGATTTTTTGCTCTGTGGTTAGGGTTGTAACTTACGAGCGAGTGCGGTGGGGCAGGGTGGTAGGTGGCGGAGGAGCGGCGGCCGGCGCCTGGCCCTGGCAGGCAGCCCTATACCGCGATGGGGACTTCCAGTGTGGCGCTACCCTTATCTCATCGCAGTGGCTTCTTTCAGCGAGTCATTGCTTTTATCAGTGAGTATTATCCTAATATGTATGACGTCACGCGTTAGTACTGTGATTTATGATACATTTTTGTATCAACGAAAATGTTTAAGTAATATTTTCTTAAGTAATATAAAATTGTTACTGAACAAAAATATTAACAATTCCAGAGCTACTGAAGCCCATTGGGTTGCGCGACTTGGTGCGTTACGGAGGGGAGCCTGGCCTCGTGGGCCTTGGGAGCGAGTGACACGCGTCCGTCAAGTAGTGTTGCATCCGAAGTATGCTCCACGTGGGTTCAAAAATGACATAGCGTTACTGCGAGTAGACCCTCTGCCTCTACACGCTCGCCTGCGGCCGGCCTGTTTGCCACCATCTCGAACACAGCCACCAGCCGGACAACATTGTACTGTGGTTGGTTGGGGACAATTGTATGAACATGAACGGGTATTCCGTAAGTTTTATTCTTATAAAGTTTTTTTTAAAGTTTCTATAAATGTTTAATTTGACAACTCCTTTCGATACTTTAACATATAAATTATAATATTATTAAGTTTTACCTATCTAAATTCCCATCAGGATCGCAATGCATTTTTGTTCTATTGCATTTCTCTATATATTACGTCAGTGTCAAGTGTGTTTATTAAACTGACCGATATAAAGAGGGACTCGTGAAATCCGTTGCGAACATTTTATTAAAACTATCTGATACATCTGTCTCCCTTATTGAGACTGTCATGACAACAAATATGACGATCATAGAATAAAATATTTCCAAACATATTTTTTTTTTGTCCGTGAACCATATTTTGTTAAATAAATTTGCCTTATCATCTACGTATAGAATCTTCTTCTTCTTCTACCTGGCAATTTCCCAGCTATAGCCAGGGTCTGCCTTACATGTGAAAAGTTTTTGGCTATTTGTTTTTACGACCGGCCGCCTGCCTGACATCAACCCTCTTTTTGGGAATCAACATTAATCAGTGATGTCTAAATACTCTTAGAAAGTACATATGATTCGGAAAAATCACATTGGTACTTGCCCGGGCCAGGATCGAACCCGCGCCCTCGGCGACGAGAGGCGGGCCCTTTAACCACTGAGCCACCACTGACTTGAGCCATCTACGTATAGAATATACTTTTAAAATTATCAAATTCTCTATAATGTTTATCTTCATTCACTTCACTACTATGCACAAAGATATTGTTCATATTGATGCAAACTTGCGAATTTGCTATAAGGAAACAAATCACATTCAATAAAAGAAAATTTCGTTTATGCATAACATTCAATATCGCACCTCGGCTCAAATAGTGTCACAACTCAAAAAAAAGTTGAATTCAATTTTATTGCACTATTGGAATCAGAAAACTTCGAAATCTTATCTCAAATAATGTCATGCCCATAGTTCATCTATTTATCCATAGATGTCAATATTTCGTAAATTATTCGTTTTTTTCATCCGTTATTCGTTATTTTTTTTTAAATATATTCCAAAAGTCTATTACACCATTTTGTTGAGTGTCAAAAATCATTATAACTTACTTAAAATCATATTGCAGTAACTTTCACAGTTTTTGAGTGATGAGCCGAAAAATAAAGTTAGCATTAACTTCAAACGCGTTTTATTCGAAAGTTGGGATTTTTGACTTATGACACTATTTGAGCGGAGGTGCGATATGTTGTTACTACTCAATATCAGATTATTAAATTTTTTTAATAATATTGACTTAATGTCGATATTATAAAATTAAAATAATTTGCTATTATTAAAGTTGTTGAACTGATCTAATGGCGGCAACATGACGTCAAACAAAGTTTTATCCATGTGCGAATAATAATAGGCCTGTATAATTATGTTCAAACTATTTGCCATCAGCGGATACGCTCCAGGAGGTGGAGTTGCCGGTGATATCCACAGCTGAGTGTCGTCGCCGCACTCGTTTGCTGCCTCTCTACAGGATCACTGAAGATATGTTCTGTGCCGGCTACGAGCGAGGCGGACGCGACGCTTGTCTTGGAGACTCGGGAGGGCCGCTTATGTGCCAAGTAAGATAGCAAAACAAATATTCCATACTATTACCACTTATGGGAATAATAAAGCTCGTTTAGAGTGTTTTCATTACATAACTGTGTTTTGTAATGGCGTTGTGTTTTATATTCTTTTTGATTACAGGAGGACGATAGATGGTATATTTACGGTGTAACCAGCAACGGCTATGGATGTGCAAGAGCGAACCGACCTGGCGTTTACACGAAGGTTTCCAACTACATCGAATGGATTGACAGCGTCATGACGACTTACACGCCGACCATAAACAAAACTATATCAAACAGCGAAGAAAACTCCAAAGAAGATTTCTACGCAGATTTAGAAACGGCTGAGAATAAAAGAGTTCTTCATAGGACCTTCGATACATGTAGAGGTTTCAGATGCCCTCTCGGGGAATGCTTACCACAGTCTAGCGTCTGCAATGGCTTTCTAGAATGTTCGGACGGCAGTGATGAATGGCAATGCAATAATCTTATGACAAATTCAAGCTGGTACAGTCCCGTCTGATAATTACTGTTAATTAGTATAAGCCAGTATAATAGTGTACGCGACTTGACTGATATCTTATAAGTAGGTTTAAGTTCACAAAAAATATGAATCTCAAATGAGCGAAGCTATTATTTAGCTATGTTATTCCCAATAAAATTTCACGAAACATATCCAGGGCTCTGTAAATATAGCTTTAATTATAAAACCGCCCGATCTATTTAATATCTGATGATGTACTATTTATTTCAAACCATGGGCTACCTTTTTCGTTTGAACCGATGTTACTGTATTTTTTCAAATGGACAATGTAGACCATAAATAAAATATACACTGTAAACGTGTTTCAATTGAAAGTCATCGTACTTAATAATACCTTTATTTAATAATAAGACAAATAAATTAAAATATCGTCAAATAAGAATGACGTAAATTACAATTCTTATTAGCGAAGTCACAATTATATCAAACACATACTATATCAATTAAAGATAATAATAATTGCTTCTATTATAATACCTCAATTAATACCAAAAGAATTACAATTACAATATTTATATAAAAAAAATTATCTGTCCTAAAAAAATAAAATAATTTCTGAGAATAATAATCACATAATATTAAATGTTATTTTAAATTGTTACTTAGAAAGTAAATTAAAGAGAAAAACTCTTACACGGTCGACAATAATCGGGGTTTTATAATCACTATAGCAAGTTACTGATAGCCGAATCGAAAATGCAAGACGTTCTACTAATAATTTCAAGACGTTACACCCTTTACATCTACAATAACCCCGTACCAAGAGGTACATACTGCGATCCAAAAAGAAAATACAAAAAAGACTGATCAAGGAACATCTTTATTACACAAAGGCCAGTAAATACGAATGTTAGTTATGTCTACGTCATATCGATTTATACCTTACAATCTAGGATTCAGCGAGATGAGCAAGAAATTTACTGTTTGTAAATCATTATGAAATATATCGCCGATATCAAATATGCGTTTGCAACTAGTGTATTAATTTGCAAGGTGTACTGTTAATGTGCATTTTATATGTGGGGCCCAAATTGGGCCAATGGTGTATATGAATGCACAGACGTTGGCGATGTGCTTGTAGATGTTTAGCCCTTATTTTCGACTGGCGTTGTCGTGAGACCGGTCGGCGGCTTGTTCAGCAGAGTCTTGAATTGTTCCGGGATTGGATACTCCGACTGCAAGAATATATGCCGTTAGTTAGATATTTTTTTACCATAGCTGTTGGAACGCCTCAAAAACTGTGACACTCCTACAATTTTTTGCCCACTATGGTTTTCCAATTAGTCATTTTATTCGCCAAAAAAATGTATATATCTTTTTTGCTAAACTTACGTAATCTCCGCTGGCTGAGGGCACCAGGACGTTCATCTCAGAAGACTTGGATGAAACTATCTCCACGTCAAGCGACTCCTGGGACAGGTAGATCTGACAACCATCCGTCTTGTCGATAGAGATTGTAGGGACCTTGCCCAGAACCTGTTAATTATATGTAGCGAATTACAAACTGAAAAATTGACAAATATTACAAAATACAGACACAAGAACTTTGAAAGATATTTTTAATCAACTCTTATTAATCTTTAAAAAAAAATTACTACGAAAGGGAGAAAGTATTGGAATTTTTTTATAGCCGTCGTGTAATGAAAAAAATTGATGGACTTTGAATTTAATGACATACTAAAACCTGTCCACCTTTATAGAACATATTTATAAACTTCTCCATATAAACTTGCTTTTTCAGAAAACTAGTCATGTCAGCTGTCACATCTATTGACAATTTTCTTATTATTTTTCAGATCAAAATAAATTTAGATTATATATTATATATTTTAAAAAGTAAACTTCAAAACTGGATTTCATTAAAACATGAAAGAGGAAAATATATCCGAAGCGGTTGTTGATAAAGAAATCATGAATGGATCACCGTCTTACTTATGAAATACTGGGAATACTTCACATACGAATTCGCTTCACAACTAGGCCAATATTTTGTCAAGTTATTATACGCTTTTTATATGAATTTTACATTACCAAACGTGGTGCGTATTGTTTTATGATCTAAAGAAACTGTGTCATACATTACGTAATTAATTGGATATTTTTTTTTTAATATTTGTAGCTTTTATTCTTGATTAAGTTTCTCCCAACGGGCATATATATACATAGATTTATAAACAACTTATATAATACAACACAAGAGAGAATGAGACTCAAACGATTGGAACTGGACGATATTAATTTGCAGGTGATAATTTTAATCAAAACATTTGATAGACAAAATCATTGAATTACATATAATTAACGCGTGTTTTCATATATATATTATTACATTATAGATCCAAATAGTGAATACGAAACTTAGCGTACGTGACGGAGAATATAACGAAAGGAAAAAACTTTTACGAAAAAAAACAGAGCAACTTAACAAGATACGAGCAAAAGTTAGAGAAGTTATAGCGGCTGATAAGGAATTAAGAGACGTCATCAAAGACAGTATAACATGGGATGAAGAAATGGATTACGACAACAACACCAGAGAAGAAGGTACGGAGCCTAACATAATAATTATGGTACAAAAAGTATAACAATTAATATATAAAAAAAATATAGAGAAATAGAAATATAATAGTCTTGTTCTGATTTATATAAGCACTGTTTCAGAGTGCACATTAATAGTGGAATTACTAAAGGAGCTGAAGTACGATCAGGTGGTGCCAGATATAGATGTAGAAGTGAGTGGACCGGCGTCAGGGGAGAAGATGGACTGCGAGAACAAGTCTGCGGCGGAGAGCGAGTGCAAACAGGACTGTCAGATCAAAATTGTCAAAGTAACGAACGTTTATAAAGTAGCGTACCTCCGACACTATATACGACAGAAGAGATTAAGACGAGCTAACAAACAGGCGATGTTGAGGAAAAAGGTGACTTATATTGATTTATTTATGGCAAATAACCCGAATAATAATTTATATAGAGTATATGTGGAGTTTCGCTTTGTTGCAGATGGACGACATAAAGAAATTATTGGACGATTGGCAGAGAACTTTGAACATGGTCATCAACAGCAAGGTGCCTCTCATAAACATGAACTCGCAGTACATCGATATACCCTCACAAGAAGCCATGGGAGACTGTTTTCAAACAGAACTTCTACATCCTATCAGATTCAGACAGCGACTTCAGAAACAGCGTTGATAACTGTCACGACGATTACATGGTAAATATAATCAAATAATACTCGAATTTATTTTTGTAGAAAGACACTTTTTAAAAATTGTATATTTATAAAGCTCTCGTGAAGTCACGGGCACTTCAATTAGCAAAAACGTTTGCCAAACCGTACAAAATAAACGACCGGCGAGGTCGTAGTGTACACGATCAATCAATCCCATAATGGTTACCGCTATTCAATTACTTGAAACTGAATTTCAATGACACAGATGCACTAAATATAATTGGATTAAACTAGAATTCTGTAGAGAATAAACGCACTAATTAGTAGTGAAAGCGCTAGATTATCAGAACACAAATTCAACGGCCATGAATATAAAGACATAATCAAGCTGTGCTCACATTGATAATGTACAGTTTGTTTCCACCCGTTATTCCGCTGGCTATAATAACATCTATTACAGGATTATAACGGAGAGAATGCTTTCACGAGAGAATACTGCGATCTCAAAGAGTACGGTGACAGCATAGACGCTGATGAAAAATGCTCCTGCAATAAAACACCTGGAGTTCTGTTCATAGTGCCAGAAGAAACTAGAAGTCAGCTGGAGATCGAAGAAATCATTAACAATACAGACTAGCGCTGGAAGTTTAAACGAAACGCATACTCTAATAATAATTGCAATAAAAACGTGTGATTCTCACATGTGGTCGCTGCTATGACCTCACAGGCGTCCTTTTATATCAACTTTGTGCTTTTTTACAACGCGTCGGGTTTATTAATAAAGTTTTGTATTCAATAACACGTTTCAATTCATTTTATAATAAATATATATAGGTTTTGTATTTGTAGATGCAATGCAAATTTCTGCGCTGCTATATAGTTTTTCAAATATATTATATGTGATAAGTTTAAATTAACCGCTCATCATATAACAGTTTATTTTAAAGAACAAAAATTAGCATTAAAAATATATGAAAAAAAATATTTCCACAAATGAATTCAACATTAACAGGCTTTTTTGTGCCCTATAGAGGGGACCTGTCTTCAAATATTTTTGCAAGGTAGAGGTGCAACGGAAATTTTATTACTATAAGCTAAAATTTTACTCAAAATATCACAAACAGTAGTAAACAAGATCTTAATAAGAAAAATACGTTTATTTGATTTATATTATTGACAAAAAAAGACGAGATTCTACAAATGATGACGTCATTTGTGCTTATAAATATTAATTGGGTTAGACGTCTGTTCGTATTTTTTACTCACAAAGCGAAAAAAGTCCATCCAATTATTATAACTCGTAGAATTCTATTTGATAGTGAATTTTCCCGTTATGTAAAAACAATGATGTATTCAGAAAAGCTTTGTGTCGCATACATATGAGATTTATGAGAAATATTTGATCATCCGTGTGGAAATTTTGTTTCGTTGTTTGAATTAACTATATCGATGTATAATTTTTACATTATAACATGTAAAGATATGTTTTCCGTGTTACATTTTAAGGTACCTTTAATCCTTTTGAGCACTCCTACTCAAATCCTTTTGGATCCGTCTAAAGTACCTCGAAGGCATATAATACCTTTTCAAAATATATAATTTCTCAGAGTATAAGATATACATTTTAGTTATTCGATATTCGGCATACGAAACATCTATATATTTAAAATGGTTTATACTAAAAATTTCTACTGTTTTATACTAAAATACTAAAATAGTGAGTTTATTATTCCCATCAGGGTCATCTCGACAACCCTTAATGTATTTAAAAGCTTATCCCAACGGAATAACTTCAAAACATTTTCTTTATAAATCACCCCTCCTACCATGAAATGCAAGTTATCTCAACATTTCTTTCTACATACAGTCTAGAGTCAAGACCCTCCTACCACGATATTTTCAATCAACTCCCAAAATTCCCCATACAAATATTGAACGTACCTGCATCTGTACTGACTGGCAGTTGACAAACTCGACGCTGGAGACGAGGTTGTCGAAAACAACAGCGCACTTGGTACAGGAGTCCAACACCACACCGTTGATTTTCCCTCGTACCGTAAGAGCGGAGTCGCGACAACGGAACATGTACACCACGTTGTTCATATCAGCATTTTCAACCACCAGAGTTCTGATTAGACTTTTGGTATTCCTGGGAACAGAAGCAATGACAATACAGTCCCATATATAATACATTTCTTGTAGCAAAAAATTACTTACCATTTTGTTTAGGATTAGGAAAGAAATGTTCAAATTATCATAATAGAAATAGGTAACATAAATTCCTTTGTATTCTGAATCTGCTAAATAAACATACATTTATTTAGTGACATTAATTAAATTTCAGTTTGTTCCATGTATATAACGACTTCTGTTATATATAAAAGCTCATAAATTGCAACACATAAGGCTTTAAGCCTTAACATACTTAAACGGATCGTAAACATTTTAACGTTGCCTTAAAACGACGTTACAAGGAACTTGCCCTTTATGCTTTCACCGAGACATTTCATAATAAAAGTTAGAACATAAAAGATATTATTACACAAAATACTCGATATTCAAATGTTATGTCTACACATACGTCTAAGAAAAGCATTAAAATAAAAGTACAATAAATTGAGAATTGTATATGAAGCTATAAAAATGTTCTCTCTATATTTGTCTGTTCTCACAATAAAAATTTATTTACATCCAATGTCTAGACATGTTTTTGTTAATTCTTTAAGCAAAATATATTTTTTATAAGAAAAATACAGTTTAAAATTAAAAATATTGGTCTCGTTTGCTAATAATAACATATAAATTATATGTGAAAGATTATGTATACTTTATATATTACGTTGAAGTTAAATATCTGAAGGAACATAGTATATTTGACACAATTTTATGACGAGGGTAACACATTGAGGCGTGTACATCTCATCTACAAATAATTTTCCACTTCGTAAAACACATTTGATACATATTGAGAAAAGTATTTCAATTTAATTTAACAAGAGTTATTAATAGAGAAAAGGAACACATGTTGAATAAATTATGGGACTTAAGCCTTTATTTTGTTAACTTTTACGTCACTCTAAATTAGGAGAACGATTAAGCCGCGTCATAAACTTTCAGTGATGTTAAATTAAAATATATTTAAGTCATAATTAATATTATATAATTTTAAATTTATTTGAGATAGAATTTAAATATTTTTTCCATATTATGTAAATTAGACAACTTTAAATATAATTATTTATATTATAAATTCAAACTGACAGACTTGACGACGAGCTGAAAGCGACTTGTCATTTGTAAAAACTAATTACGGAGTTATAATTGTTTGAACGTGCTCCATATGGTGAATATATTATATAAAAAGTAATACTGGATTGTCTGTTTGTAATGTTAAAGTAACTGAAGGTCACTAAAAATATGGTGGTATAGATAGTACTAAAATATATTGTCAGGTTTATATCTGAAACGAATGGATCGATTTTGCTGGGACCTCAACTACTTTTATTTTTCTTTATATAAATAATATATATAAAATAACCTTGGCTTGTAACCGGTGAAAAATAAAATCGGTACGAACTTCACGTATGTTTTAACATTGGAAAGGTTCTATAAAAGAACTCTCACCGCGACCCATTTCAACGGCAGTCGTAAGTGGCGTGTGGAGACGATTGTCAACAAAGTAACGTTAATGTTTAAAATCACTTACGAAACAAAAAAAAAATAAAGTACGAACTATCGACGATAAAAATAACATTTGTTACATTTGCAACATCCCTACTAATATTATAAATGCGAAAGTAACTCTGTCTGTCTGTTACGCTTTCACGTCTAAACCACTGAACTGATTTTAATGAAATTTGGTACATAGATAGAGTTGACCTTGAGAAAGAACATGGGATAGTTTTTATACCAGACTTTTGTAAGGTTCTCTTGGAAACGCGATATAACCGAACTCCACGCGGGCGAAGCTGCGGACGGAAAGCTAGTATTCAATAAACTTATATAAATAGGAAATATTTTTATAAGTCCAAATATAAAGCAGTGTTACTTTAAGATACTACTAGATATTTCATAACGAGGGCATGTTCATAATGTATAATATATTTTATATAAAAATGTTTATTTGGCCTTGTCATTTAACAATGAAACAGTGGAATATATTTCAAATACATTATATACTAAAATACTTTTATATATACTGAGGTCCTTTTATATATTTGAATACTTACAATAACCCATTTCTTCCCGTCTCTGGCGAACACAGGCGGCTTGTCGGGCAGAGACCCGGCCCCCGGAGTTGGGAGGGCCTTTACGGGGGCCTTGGAGGCCGGGGCCTTGAATGGTGCGGGGCCCTGACGCAGCTGAGGGTTCTTATGGGTCTGCATATCCGACGTCACTTTACGGAGACCTGGGCACCAAATAAATATCATTAAACATCTTCTTCTTACCTGGCAATTTCCTAGCTTTTTGCCAGGGTCTAACCTTACATGTTGTGAATAGTTTTGGCTAATTGTTTTTACGACCGGCCTGCCTGACATCAACCCTCTTTTGGGAATGCATTAATCAGTGATGTCTAAATATTTTAGAAAGTAATTATGACTCGGCAAAATCACATTGGTACTTGCCCGGGCCAGGATCGATCTCGCGCCCTTAAGCATGAGAGGCGGGCCTGTTAACCACTAGGCCACCACTGACTGACATAAATATCATTAAACATCACCTATACCAATTAAATTTAATATTTTAATATAATATGTCTTTTGTAATTAACTCGTATATTTAACCGCTTACACTACGAGTTTTATTTAGATCATATGATGAGTTTTATTTTCTGTGTGGATTTATCATTCAGTATAAAAGACAAGTTTTGTGAATGCTCTCCGAGCTATGAAAGGTCTCGTTCATGTAGTGCATCCACGCTTACATTTGGCCCATCGTATTACGATAAACAGAGCTAGATTTTTTTAATTATAAATTTTTAATATTATACATACTATATTTTTTTAAAATAAACCAAAAAAAGTTTTACGTAAAACTTATTTCTAGTATCCAATTTTTTTTTTATCGAGTCACATGTTATAAACTCGTCTATTGAAATATAATTAATACAATAAGATTAGAAAACTTTTAATATATCAATAATAGACTGGTTTAAAAACAATTAATTACCTTAAAAAACTATAGCTTAAAGTTGATTTCTCCCAAAAAAACATAATTATATATGATCTAATGATATCTTTCCAATATCTTTGGTATATGTTCATTTAATACTAACTGCTAGTAATAGCTTCTCCCTTGTTGATCTCAGCGAAGAGAGCGCTGCGGTCGTCAGCTGCCATGTTAGCGAAGTCCACCTCAGGCAAAGCTGGTGGCGGTGGTGGCATACCACCGGGGGGTGGTGGTGGAGCACCGCCCTTACCTACATATTAAAGTAACTTACATTTGAGTGTTAAGGAAGAGTTTACTTTATAACCAAGGGTTAAGGAAGAGTTTCCTTTATAAACAAGTTGGAAAAAAATGTCCTACGTACAATAGTATTTGCTTTTTGAAGCATTTACTCTTCTTTTATAATCAAGTTGGAACACGAGTCTTTCATGCAATTATATACTATTTGTAGCAACGTTTAGAGATTTTGCACCCAATACAAAGTCAAACATTTTGTGTGATATATGATATAAATAGGAAAGGAATATGTATATGAAAAACTCGATCAATAAATAAATATTGGTGACCAACTACACAATTGATCTGTAATTTTTGCGAAAAATGAAGTGATTATCCATAGAACTTATCCCATATATATTAACTAAAAAGTTATATGAACACATTTAATAAGAATAACTTACATTTTTAATGTCAAAGCATATAAAATCACAGATATATTTACGAAATCAAAACTATCGGATAATCACAGATATGTATATTCAAGAAACCAAAATTATCAGACAATTAATATATATTTTAACGAGGATCAAAGGCACTTTCATTTATATTTAATATCACAAATAAATATGAATTAATATCACATATAAATATGAATGAATAACCTCATGAATTTTATGACTATCTAAAGTATTCATTGAAATAAATCTAATATTTTCGGATTTACTACGCGTTATTTATTATTTATTCTACTCCTGACGTTTCGATTACATCAACCGTGATCACGGCAGACCTTATTTAATTTAGTCAGTCTCATTACTGTATATGTAATTATAAATCACCTAATGTGAAAGCATTGTGATGGCTTTGACTTCATATAGCTAATTAAACACTACTACACTACTGTTTATTAACAATAACCTCATTTGAGTAACAGTAAAGTTATACAATTCAAGTTAATTCGAGATGAACCTCAGAAGTTAGACATGTATGTATGTGTAACTTACTATTTCAATGTTATGTGTCCTAATTTGATTACACTAGTTAACTTTGAAATGAAGACGCAGAATTAAAATATCAAAGGTACGATGGAAATTTATTGAAATTTTTGTCACAATATAATCATTGCTGATGTAAAGATATCTTTATTTGTATGAAATTATGTTCTATGAAGTTGTATTACAGTTTATTATTTAAATTTTGTTTTTATGAATGGGTGAATACTCTTTTAAGTGAAATTACATGAAAGTAATTGGATCATTTTGTATTGAACGCGATTATATTATCGTCTGAATTGTGTAAGTATTAGGAGTTTGCGAACTATAAACCAATCTTGTCAACGTAATTTATATTTATATGTGTATATTTTTTAAAGAATACAAACCCATTTAAAACTTTATAAATGAAAATCAATTAAAATTTTAATATTTTTCGTTTATACATCAACATATCTATGAAACTTTGTCATTGCAAGATGCAAGATATTACTAAGAAATTTCTACAATCTAATCTTTCATCTCTGAAATCAAATTCGATATACACGTGAATATAATAAAATAACTATATTTTGTAAATATATCAAAATTTTACATTAAATTTTCTATTTTCCATGAAATCGTCAATCATAATTTTATTTGTAAATACATCTTAAACCAAGTGGTTATAAACGTAATACGTCCAGTAGTATTACATAATTAGTTCGTAGCTTTAATAAGCTTTTTCTGTAATAGTTCAAGGTTAATGCGACAGTCATATTAGCCATACTAACCTTCACCCTTATGTATACTATATATTAATTCTAACAAAGAAAAATTAAGAAAAACACTTTAGCAAATTTTCTACTTTTAATTCAAAGAAAATTAAGTAATACGACAACTTGAGAAAGGAATAATTGGACCCGTATTTTATCAATTTGATAGAAACGAAGGAAAATTTTATGTGAATCGAGAAGATCTAACTTAATTTATATACTTATTAAATAACAAAGAAAAATTCATTGGTACTTAATGAAGGAGCGATGAGAAAAAGTAATATTATTAATTATATTATTAATATAATCAAAACTTTTACTGTTATTAAAATAATTAGGAAACCAAGAAGAATCATATTATATATGTATGTTGTATTATAATATAAGTAAGTTTTTATTTTATTTATATATGACATATAAATATGTATACTCGTACATATATCATTTTACCTATTTCTTCAAATCTTCAAAGGTAAATGGAAGATATGTATTTAAAAAGAGAAAATCTACTGTATGTACAATTACTATTTTGACTTGTTTTTAATTTATTTGGCACATACATAAATAAATATCAACTTACCCGACCACACGAGACCCGTTGTGTGATATTGTTTCACGTAGGCCTGAAGATCAGACAATAATTGAATCCAAGCGCGGCACCATTCTACGTGGGTTTTGTCTTTCTCCTTCCATTCCTTCAAAACGCGGTTCGTATAAAACTGGCCAGCGTCGTTCATCTCCTTGACGTAGGGCGCCGGTGTTGGGGAAACAGCCACCCACCCTAGAGCCGGGATACTCTCAGATATAGCTGAGAGATGATTAAAGAACTTAGACGCTCTGTTCTTTTCACGGAACTGCTGAATCGATGAGATCTTCACGCTTGTAGGTCCAAGCAGTTGGACGTCTTCCGCTTGAGACGGCTTCGAACGAGTTGTCGCTAGCTGAATGTAACGCAACTGTTCTCTGTGGAAGAAAATATTGTTAGAATAATCGATTTAATATTCACACCAGCCTGATGGAATAAAAATATAATACTCACTGGAAAGCTTCGTTGACTAGGTTAGCGTGTGTGGCAATATCACCACCGAGCTGATTAGACAGCTGTAAATATGTCTGCAGGGGACCCTAGAACAATGACGAAAAGTTAAAAATGTATCCAAAGAAAAAAGTAAACCTTATAAAATAAAATTTAATTTTTCTCTGTCTTATTAATTGGATATCTAAAAAAATGTCGTAAAATATTAAGCAAAGCCAGCAAGGTTTTCTAAAAGATTATCCAAAAATAAAGTCCTTAGGAAAATCAATGTCACAAAACATTAAGCATCTCAACACCGCTATATTCTTGTACATCCTTCCAATAAAATCATTAAATACAAACTAACATTATATTAATTCATCCGATAATTACTTTTCGCTAAGAAAATACTAGCGGTCCTTTAGAGAACTGTAATCAATTTTGGACGATTCTTAGAAACAATTATTTTATATGGGCAATACATCTCATTTAATTTCAAGATTTAATATTAACGAAAGTAAATAAATAGAGGCAAATTTAGGACAAAACTAAATTTTAACTACAATAATTAACATAAAGAATAAATATCTATAACATCATTATATTTATGAACTCAGAAAGGATTATATTGTATTGTTTTTCACATAAACCGCTTAGTGCTGTGTGAATAAAGAAGTAATTTCCTTTAAGGCTAAGTAACAAATAAATATTTCTATATTTACGTGTAAAGAAAAGTCTTTGCAAACAACAATTCTTATAACCAGTACGTATCAAGTCTTTGATAAAAATAAACTCCTGCTGTTTTACAAATTCGCTCAAAAATCTCATCTTGTAGATTGATCATAAAATTCGCTCTATCACATCTGTAGCTACATCTTAAAACAATCCAGAAAAAATACCTGAATTAACTTCTATCACTATAATAGTTTCCGTAAATTACTCGTACTAAGACTCCATGTAGACGTCTAATTAGAAATTTAAAATTTTCACGAAGCTTGTAATTTATTCAAGTTTAATCGAAACACTTAAAATGCATTAGTTTTTGACATGATCCCCAAAATTGCTAAAAAAACTGGTAACGAGATACGTAGGTAAGGTATTGAACTATAAACGAAAGTATGTATTAAACCAAATTAATTTATCCAATGGATGAGATATTGCTATGACAACGTCTTTAGACATGAAACAATTATCTAATGACTCGCAAAAATATAAGTAACCAGTGGAACGGACTAATTTGTAAAGTAAATATAAAATCGATCGTATCCCAAGAAAGCGATGGTGAACCAACAAATGAAATCGTCCTAAAGCTTCAGGTCGTAACAAGTTTCAGTTATCCCGGGATAAATAACTTGTTCAAACAACCATAGACCGTTGAGGATGAAAATTGATTGCTTACGAAGTGCCTAACACAATAAGGACACTTTTCATACTTTGTTAGCTATACAAAATATTTGTAACAAATATTTGAGCACTCCACTCTATTACTTTATCGATGTACGGTAAAATATTATTATTAAAATTTATATAACATTTCATTCACTTTGGTACAGCCATCGACCTTTTATCTTTATTGTAGGAGTTATTTTTAAAACACAAAGAGTACTAATTACAAAAACATCAAAGGAATTATTAATTACATTTTAATATAATTATAATAAAACAATCGGTACTTCAAACAACTGTTTGCCCTTGACAGTTTGAAAGCCCAGTGGGACAAGTAATTAACCTGTTGTTAAGTAGTTTTCCCTTATAGCACTTGTATACCCAGAAGAATAATAAAATAACTTTTTCAATGAAGTAAATTACATCCTTTTAGTTTTATATTCCGTTCATATAGCGATAGATTCAAACATTTTTATTTGTATGAAAACATGATTAAAATATACTGGAATATTTTTTTTAACTTAATCTAAGATTCCGTTATTATAAAAAAACGTAATTTTCTACGTTTATCTAAACCTATATGCTTAACCTAAGTTAGACTTTACACTAGCATTTACTATCCCTCGATAATACGTCCTTTACAAAGTAGCGAAATAATCATATACATATAGAAATAGATAATACATTTCACTGATATAAACAGATATGACATCACTCTCAAACAATAATAATTAATTAGTATGAATTAATGCCAGACATCAATACATCGGGACGGATAAAAGTTCCACGTCAGATTTGAAGGTCAAATGACATTAGTCATGCATTTAAGTAAATAAGGTAAATGAATCATCGCATATATATATAATAAACGTGACTAGTATAAGTTGAGCTCACCTGCATCAACTCCTGGTATCCGTTGATACTCATATTGTCAGTTTCTATGAGGTCTACTTGAACTGTCAGCGGTGTCGGAGAGCTGGGCGGTGTCAGTGTCGTCGATAACAACACCGGCAGTCGCTCTAAACGCGATGTCACACGCTCTAGACGCTCTATTAGTGACTCTAGATCGGCAGCCGAGCTGTGTGTCGCGAGAGATGGCTCTGCGTCTCCACCTGTTAGGGAAAAGCATCAATTAAATAAAAATCGAATACAATAAATACAATAAATTTGAAACCAGATCGAATTCAATTCCGTACAGACGGTATTGAATAAACGAAGACATTCATTTACGTAATTGAAAACTGATATTTAGTTAGACTGTTCCAATTTTAAGGAAATTGTTTCTAGAAACAACGAGAAAAGCTACTTTACACCTCTGACTTTACAAAGACAATTTGATAATACAATCAAAATAAATATCAATAGCAAGAAAATATTCCTACCGCGTGAAACAGTACCATCCTCTCCCCGATTAGAATCTAACATAACTGTATTAACAGCATCACTATTCGTACATCTGCGAGACTCAAATATCTCAATTAGATGCCTCATGTTCCTATTAGTTTCACTCTCCATTTAATGAACCACAACGGACTCTGTTCAACGTGAATGAACGACCACTATCAAATGACTAAACTGTTGATACGAGGCGATAATATTACCGAGTAACGTTCCACGAATGTGATAATGCGAAGCAAATGATAATTCTGTCATACATTGTTGTAAAAAAAACCCGTGAGAAAGAGATGGAATATGAGAAGCATTAATATCTAAATCATTATCATTACAAAATGACTTGTATGATGTCATAGCTAATATTTTAATGATATTTCAACAAAGTTTAAATAAAAGGCAATGTCACAGAAAATAGTTCCAACGTTGGCACAGTGTCAAGTTGCTGTTTATATTTCGAAACATCCTTCGTTTGTTTTCTAGTATGTAACGATGGATAGAAGGCAAAAACATATCACGATATTATACCGTACATTTGTAAATACATACAAAAAAATATTTATCAGACGCTGTACTCGATAAGGAATCTAATTACTGGATTTCAAAAAATTCTGATATTTCCTCCACAGTACTCGAGATAATAATTCGTCCAACAAATAAAAATATTCCATGATTCAATTGCGAATGAAGCCATAGCTAAAAAAACAATTGTGATCTTTAATTAAACTTGACACATGTCGAAATTAATATACCAGGGAACATTCACTAACTCGTCGTTTAAATTAGCATTTATATTAAGGAATTACGAATTTAAATAACTATCCTTCTCAATAAAGAGAGACATAACGTTACAGACGATTAATTAGCAAGACATTCAATTAATTATAATTACTGTTTTTACTGTTCTTTAAGGAAAATAAGATCCAATGTCTATTTAATATGCATTTAACTTTTGTTTGAGTTGACTATGAAATAAATTAATTCTGTAAATAATTTGGGAATGATATATTAGAAAAATGATTAGTATAATATATATAACAATTTATTGGGATCGAATAAATTTTCTACATATTTTCTCAATTAATTTTATGTCTAGATGAATTTTTATTTATTTAACTTTATTGACAATTATTAGTAAAGGTATAGTTTAATTATCTATTGACAACAAAAAAATAATAAAGCATATCTTTTTTATAAAATAGTATGGGTTAGTAATAACTAATTAGTGCTTGTAGTATGAGTAGCAACAGCCAAAAATGTATGCTGAATATGCCTAATTGTTCGTTCTATTAATTGGGCTGTCTGTAGTCTATGCGGGAGAGTCATTTTTTTTTTAGTAATGAGTGGGTCATGTATCGAATATTAATGTTAGGGAGCTTTTCTAAGGTGAGATTATTTGTGTTCTCTATAAAAAAAATCATCGTTTAGTCAAACTATTTATAGGGCGCAGGAAGCATAAGTTCAACAATAAATAATAGAAAAAACCGTTTGACGAAATTAGAACTTACACAGCAATAAAAGAGCGATTAGCTAATACGAGGGCTGCTATATATATTTCTGGCCTAATAATGAAAATACGAATATTTATCAACGAAAATGGTTTTATTGTTTTTCAAAATATTCTCCATCAAGATTTATACACTTTTGCATGCGCTCGAACCAATTTTCGAAGCACTTTTTCCACTCCGATTGAGACACCTCCAAAACATGGTTTTTGAATGCTTCAACAGCATCTTCTGGCGACGAAAATCGTTGTCCACGCATTTTTTTCTTGATGTGTGGGAATAAAAAGAAGTCATTGGGTGCCAAGTCAGGGCTGTACGGCGGATGACCCATCACTTCGACGTTTTGGCCGGTCAAAAAGGCGCTGGTTTGAGCCGATGTGTGAGAGCTCGCATTGTCATGGTGCACAATGATTCGTCTTCTCTTGTTCATTTTTCGAATTTCTCCGAAGACTTCAGGCAAACAAATGGTGGTATACCACTCAGAATTGACCGTCCTACGTTGCTCAAGCGGAACAGTCGCCACATGACCAGTTTTGCCGAAGAAACAGGCGACCATTTGCTTCGAAGTGCTTCTTCCACGAACAACTTTCGTTGGATTTGGCTCGTCTTGGAAGACCCACACGGTCGATTGCTGTTTTGTTTCGGGCTCATACGCATAGATCCATGATTCGTCACCTGTGACGATCTTATAAACGTCTTTTGAAGCACCGCGATCATATTTTTTCAGCATTTCTTTACACCAATCCACACGAGCTTTCTTTTGAGCGATTGTCAAATTGTGCGGGATCCAACGAGAACAAACCTTTTTTACGGCCAGGTGTTCATGCAATATCGAATGTATGCTGGTGGGAGAAATGCCTAGGCATGCCTCTATCTCACGGTAAGTCACATGACGGTCTTGCATTATCAGTTCACGTACGGCATCGATGTTTTCTGGCACAACGGCTGTTTTTGGACGACCTTCACGGAATTCGTCTTTGAGCGAGCGTCGGCCACGATTGAATTCGTTGTACCAGTTTTTCACAGTGCTATAGGATGGTGCTTCGTCGCCATACAAAGATTTAAGTTCATCGATGCACTCTTGTCGTGATAATCCACGTCGAAAGTTGTGAAAAATGATCGCACGAAAATGTTCACGAGTTAATTCCATTTTTTTGCCAAATTGATTTCTTCAAGTACTTGTAAAAGAAAAAAAAAATTGTCGTAAGTCAAAAAGTTCTGAGTACATTTATGCTAAAAAATGTCAAACTTTCCAATGGAAATGCCAGATTGCACCTGGCAACACTTAGTGTTGCCTAGGCCAGAAATATATATAGCAGCCCTCGTATTGGTATGGAATCGTTCACAGTTTCAAAATAACACAAGCTCAATGTAGCCAATAATATTTTTGTAATTACTAATAATGATTATTTTTGTTTTATCCCAAACCAGATGTAAATGAAGTTATTAATGACAAAAGATCTATTATATACCTAAATATTTTTAGATTAACGGTAACCCAACGTACGCAATCTAAAATAATCACGAAAGTTATGAATTTAAGACCTCGATGATTCAAAGGAGCCATTGTTTTTGGCACAATATCATATAAATATCTAACGTAAGTTAATAATGAGGGGAAACTCATTATTATATAATAAAACAATTAAAAGTACCCGAGAAATATTTCATTGTTCTCCAGCCTTCAGATAATAGGGTTTTACAAACACAATAGCCTACTTAGGTGCCTTTGACAGCATCTTTGCGTTGGATAAGACCGTGTGGCGTCTAATTTTACTTGAGATCACTCGATGTTCAGATAAATTGGGCCTTGGACTCACGTTTATTTCGGTAGCATTACATGGCCAAGGCCAAACTTTGCGTAACTGACTGTGTGTTCTGGTTGAATTTCTTTTTATATATAAAGAAAGAAAATACTAATATATACTTGACACGATTATAATTGAAAATAATATTCCTATACTAAGTTATATGTTTTAAAAGAAGTTCTTTTAAAAACTTTAAAATGAAATAAAAATGTTACGTTTTATTTAAATAATTTTGTATTATGTAAGTGGGTTAGTATTTTAAAAATAATCTAGCACCCTTGAAATAAAAAACGTTTTTCCACCGTATTTTTTCAAATGTTATAGCTTGTTAGAATGAAAGAGATTTTTATTCCTTTTGAAAATATTATAACATGAAACTATTTTGTATATAAATTATTTATAGTTTTTAAAAAATGTTATTAACACTGATAAATATTTAAATAAACTTGTTAGAAAACCTCTTCATTTGAATAGTATTTTTAATATCCGACTCCTTCAAGCCTTCTATTATGTTTTGCTTTCTAGTTTTGTCAAACCGATACATATATATACATTTGCTACAATATAAACTACAGAATGCAATGATATTTAAGATTATTCAAACTTTCATTTCTAAACTGGAACAATGCCTTGTACGGACCGCAAATCAACAATTACTGACCACAGACCAAAAACGTATCAGTGACGACAATGTATGTAACATTAGATTTTCACTAATTAGAAATAAAGAAATCTAACACTATATGTTGTTTGTAAAATATAGAATAATGTTCAAATATTACTCGAACATATAATTTAATGACTTGTTACAACTAAAAATAAATGAAAGATATATTTGTATACATTTATTATCTTGTTACGTTGGATGGTTGCGAAACATTTAGATTTATATATGTATTTACAGGATAATGTCATATTTATTGATAACGCTATTTCAAACGGTTTTTGTATCATTTGAACATTGTGTTTTCATGTTTTGATTTAAATCAAAAAATTATTTTTATATATAGCTTTAATTTATTTGAGAGTTATTATTTTAGTTTTGCTCAATATTGTTTAGAAAGTTATGAGAGAAGATATTTTTATTAAAAAAAAAAATAATTTTCTTGTTTTAAGTATTTTTTTAGATCTTGAAATAAAAATTTCAATAAAGTATTTCTTGTCGTAAGTATTTCTTTGAATGTTGATTAATTTACAATAATCATTCACAATACTTCATATACACATATTTCAAAGAAATATATATTTTTAAACTTGTTTACTTCGAATGCTTAGTTAATATCCTTTCAACAGCGAACAAAAGCAGTTAAAAATATTTTTGCCGGCAAGTAAAGTACATTATTAATAGAAAAAACGTTTTTTTCTATCATCCGAGACTTGAAGAAACGTTACCATTTTATTACTATA